TTTTGCACACGCCCTCGGTACTAGGTACCGAGGGGACTTTTAAAAACACTTGGTGTTTTCTTCATTGTTGAGGGTGGTGGAGTGTGTACCCTCGGTACTTGGTGCCGAGGGGTCTTCATTGTAGGAGGCCTTAGGCCAGGTGCTCGTATGAGGGCTTGGCCGCTCACGAGTGCTCTGTTCTTTGTGCTTGGTGTCTTCAACATGTCTTCATTCTTCAAAAATTGGGGGGCTTTGGGCCGTAGGATAATACATTCATTAGTTATGAGGGCTTGGCCGCTCCAATATTACTGATAAAATTTAACTAGATGGTGTACATTCCAATGTCGGGGGACCTCGGTCTCGTTGGGGCGTTTGAGCTTGTAAGTTCCCGGCTTGATAACGGCTGCAATGATGTACGGACCCTCAAATTTGGGCGCCATTTTACCGCCCTCAGTTGGTTGGCTAGCTTCCCTTCTTCGGAGAACGTGGCCGGGGGGTAGCTTATCCGAGAGGTTACTGTGGGGAGTAACTTAGAGAGAAGTCAGAGCAAATAACAAGAGAGATAAAGAGTTCAAGTGTGTATTCGAATTGTATTGAGCGTGGTTTACAAATGGGGAAAGGGGTGTTATTTATAGCAGCAATAAATGCTAGATAGGGACACGTGTCAGCATTCTGGCAGTCGAGGGGTCACTTCAATCGGGTGGCACTGGCATTCACATGTAGCCGCATTAAATGCGGTGGTTGGATGCGACATTTGTACTTGATACGGTGATCCAGCGCATGTGGATGGAAGATTCTGTCGAGGAGGAAGCCTTCGGCTGCAGATGACGGTACGAAGGCTCTGCGTACCATGGGCCTCATGGTGCCGAGAGCTCCCATTGCCGAAGGCATGGTTTTCCAGACCTGTTCTCCTGTGATGTTCTGAGCCCAATTCCGTCACTGGTAGCCTTCGGCCATGGGGCCGAAGGCACCCTTTCATGTATCGTGGGCCGCTTAGAACTCCATCCTGCTGGGCTTGGCCCGCTTGGGCCTGTTGGGCCTGATTGTGATAGTGGACGTATGTGGGCCGGAGGGTTCCTGGGCCATATACTCCATCAGTTACTTTCTTTATGTTTTATTTAAAAGGCGTTCATATTCACATATTCATTTTTCACTTCATCATTTTTTGGGTTAATGCAGCAAATATGACATCAATAAAGCTGATTGTCTCATATCACTGTGATGTCCAAAAATGTTACGTAGTATTTTTTACACAAGCTAAGTACCGGGTGCTATGACTATTAAATTAGATATCAGCATCTTTTTCAGTAACATGTGCTCTTTAGATGTCACGGATCAAAAAATGCACCGTTAAATACTTTTCTTACAATCTATGTAGTATAATAAAGCTAAAAAATAAAATCTTTTACCCGGGTAAAAAATAAGACTCCATGAGTTAATATTTGCTAAATACACATTTATCTTAATGTTATCTAAATTTTGTTTTCACCTTTCTAATTAAAGATATTTTGAATTGGAATCAATTTTGTGATCTGATCTATGAAAGTAACAATTTTAATTCAATTTAGTGTATATATTAAATATTAACATACATTTTGATATGTTTTTATCTAGAGTTTCAGGTCTATGAAAGCTTTATTAATCAATAATTACATATATAACAATCATATAGTGATACTAAAAGTGATGTTTAACAATTATATAAATAAGCTAGGCTGTGTATAAAGGGTAATTCTTTTACTCATTAATGTAACTTTAATATAGTATCATTTGATCATAAAATTGAGATCATTTGTTGTTTCTAAATACGGGGCATCATTATTTTATATTTTATATTTCATAGTTTGACATGTTCATGTTTCAATTATCACCTACCACTTGACGTGAGAATCTTCTTATAGATTTAATTAAGTTGACCTTCAAGGTAAAAAGTGCCTACTAAAAGTCTAAAACATGCAACCTTTCTTCGTTCAATAACACATATTTTAAATCAATGTAATGAAAAATAAATCGACCGTTACCAATAGCGTTATACAACCAGCCTGTTGTCGCCGCCATCACCTTCACATTCTAAACTCTTTTATCAAAGAAGGAGATAGAAGGACTAATTTGCTCAATTCTAAATCCTAGAAGGGCCAATATCTTTTAAAACAGACCACACCCATTATTAATTAAATAAATAAAGTGCAATCAAAAAACAACAAGCTACGGGTGAAATCTAATGGAAAAAAATAAGCATTGAACAATTTGTTTTTTTTTTGTTTAGATAAAGATGGTTGAGAAGACGAAATTCATTTATTTGGACGCAACCGAGAGTTGTAAAAAAATAGGCTCTTTTAATTGGAAAATATAGACCGGAACAAGTTTACATAATTAGTTAAAATCGACTAAGAAGTTGTTCTCTTTGTTTGATCTGAATATTTCTGATCTGAATTTTTTTAGATCTGATCTGAATCTTTCTGATCTGATCTGAATCTGTCTGATCTGATTTGAATGTTTCTTATATGATCTGATCTAATCTGAATCCTTCTGTTCTGATCTTAACTTTCTACACCGGTATATAATAATAATAATAATAATAATAATAATAATAATAGTAATAATAATTATAATAAAATAATAATAATAATAACTATCATTATTATAATTATATTTATTTAATAAGTATTATAATAATAATAATAATAATAATAATAATAATAATAATAATAATAATAATAATAATAATCGATAATAATAATAATAATAATAATAATCATCGATAATAATAGAATGTTTTTAATTTGCTTTGAATATTTCCGGTTTGATTTGATCTGATCTGAATGCTTCTGATCTAATCTGAATCTTTCTGATCTGATCTGATCTGAATACAATAAGAATAAAAGAAATTAGTTCAAATAGAACTAAAACTATGGTAAAAACTTAAAATAGGATTTGCTATGTTTTTATTCCAAAATAGGACCATATGAGTCCTATTGGAAACCTACCTATTTTTGCATTCCATTCTTACCCTTCCATTAAATATGAATTAAAAATAGTCAAAAGCCATAATTAAATGTTTAATTCATAATAAATTCGAAAAAAAAATCAAAAATTCTTAGAAATATATTTAAAAATTTTATAAAATGTTTATAAAATAAAAAATTCAAAAACATTTTTTTAAAATAATTTTATTTTTAAAAAAATTAATAAAAAATAGTAAAACTCCGTAAAAAAATTTAAAAAAATATGGATGCCTTTCCCACCGCCTGTACTACCTCCCAGCACCACCACCTCCGACCGATGAAAAAAATGCCATTTTCCCAGAAAATGCCATTTTTTCTGAAAATGCCAAAAAAGTGGCATATTTCTCTTTTCGAATGCCACCATTTTCATTTTTGTCTGCCATAAATATGGCATTCGTAATGAACTTGACATTTTTTCCCTTGGTGACTGGAGGTGGTGGTGCTGAGGCGGCGGCGATTTTTTTTTGAGTTTTTATTTTTTTTATTTTTTTTTTAATTTTTTTAATTTTTTGAAAAAAAAAATTAATTAAATTTTTAATATCAAAATGTTTTTCTTAATTTTTTATTATTTTTTACGAATTTTTATTATTTTTTATTATTTTATTAGGAATTAAAACATTTTAATAGCTATAAGGGTATAATTGTCCAAGGTACACATAATTAGTCCTATGCAAACATAGTTCATTTTTTGGTCCTACTTGTGAAAAGTGAATGACTTTTAGTCCTATTTTGATAAATAACTCTAAGAATAAGCAATAAGTAATAAGAATAAGATGAACAGAACAACTTCTAAGTTACTTTCTATTAGTTATAATTACTCATACATATGTCAGTGCACGCATATATACATATATTGTAAAACTAAAACAAGATCATTTTATCCCGTGCACGGTACGGGTAAAGATACTAGTTAGGAATACATCTAAAGAAATTTTAGGATTACGTTTCAAGAAAAAAAAAATCTTTTGAGAAGGGTAGAATGTGACATCTTGAAAAATTAAAATAAAATAAAAATCAAATCAAATATTGCGCTAAATAAAATGAAAAATTGAAAACGGGAGTGGACACTTTATAAAATAATTTGACTTTATTATGTCAACTTTAATCAAATAAATTCTAGGAGTATAATGCACAAAATAATAAAAGTGTCCTTCTATTAGTCTTAAAATGAAAAAGTTGTCGGTTATAAATACGTGTACAAAATATAGAATATATAACTAAGTATTTTTTTTTATGTTTTTTTACTATTTTGTTTTTTTCTTAATTAGACAAATGATACTCCCTCCGTCCCTTATAACTTTATCAACTTTCCTTTTTTGGTTGTCCAAAAAACTTAGACACTTTCCATTTTAATCAATCAATTTGTGGCTTCTGTTATTTCTCTCTTCTCTGCACAAATTTCTACCACACAGTTTTTAAAATAAAAAGGTTGACATCCCATCCCTGAGGGCCCCACAACCCCGACCGGACGGTACATTGGGAGGATATAAATTGGACTATAATCTCAATCTGACAGATAGAGAGTGGAGCTCTGTCCCCGGTAATTGCAGAGGTACCACACAATTTTTACTTTATTATTCTACGTGCCGGTCAAACATGACAAACCTTTAAGAGACGAGGGAGTATTATTATAAAACAAACTTAAAGAAAAGCGAATGAAGTAAATTAAAGCAACTATGGAATTTACATCTAAAGAAATTTTAGGATTATGTTTAAAGACAAAAATGGGTAGAATGTGACACCCTGAAAAATTAAAATAAAAATCAAATCAAATATTGCGCTAAATAAAATGAAAAATTGAAAACGGGAGTGGACACCTTACAAAATAATTTGACTTTATTATGTCAACTTTAATCAAATAAATTCTAGGAGTATAATGCACAAAATAATAAAAGTGTCCTTCTATTAGTCTTAAAATGAAAAAGTTGTCGGTTATAAATACGTGTACAAAATATAGAATATATAACTACGTATTTTTTTTTTGTTTTTTTATGTTTTTTTACTATTTTGTTTTTTTCTTAATTAGACAAATGATATTATTATAAAACAAACTTAATACCGATGGACGTATCTCAACTGGTAGCAAGGGAGTGCCACAGAGTTAGATCTCTGGTTTGAATCCCGACAACTGCGATGAGGAGTTACTATGCTAAAAATGCATAGAACCTCTGCAAGTAACGGGGACAGAGTCTCACTCTCTATTATAGTCCAATTTACATTCTCACAACGTACCGTCCGGTCGGGGTTGGGGGCGGTACGAGGTGTCATCCTTTTTTATATATATAAAACAAACTTAAAGAAAAGCGAATGAAGTAAACTAAAGCAACTATGGAATTTACAGGAGCAACTCTTATGTTTGCACCTTTATATTCCTTATTAAAACAACCACATGAAAACACAAAGCGTAAATCATAAAACAACTATGCTCAGAAATCCCTTGTGGTTTCTATTTCTGATTGCCTGAAGTCTGAGCTGGAGCACTAGCCATACCTGCAAACTGTGTTCCCCATTGGCTAGGAACAATCAGTTGGATGCAGGATTCCATATCTTCCATTGTTAACCCAGTGGACTGAAAAACACTTTCCAGTGTTGAAAATTTCCCTTTCTTGACAGCTGGGGTCTTTGAATCAGCGTCAAGATACTGGTCCATCCTGTACGCAATCATCAGCACATGATGAATTGCAGGCATCCTTGGCTTAGCAGGGCTTTCTGGCTTCATATGGTGGATGAAATTAGCAACAAATTTCAAGCCTGAGTGAGCATGAATAGCCCAATTGTCTTCTGTTTCTTTAGAAGCTTTGATTGAACAGGCCTTCACCACATTGCCTCCAAGCCTAGCATGCTCTAAATTTCTGTGACATTGATGAATGACACAAAGAATTGAAATACAAGCTTGAAAGAGCTTGGGAGTCAGAACAGGTATGACAATCCCATTCTTCTCTTCATCCTCCATTCCAACATTCACAAGAATACTTCTGGTATCAGTATGACCATCTTGGCCTCTGATCAACAAACAGAAAAGCGTGTCATTCTTAACTGGCCATTGAAGTGCAGTATCCTCATCTGGTAAGCTAATGCCTTTCTTGCAGCTCTGATTCAGACGGATCAATTCATCTTGAATCAGTTCAGCATCTCCTACTGGAATTCGACGCTTAAAATCTCTGTCTTTAACGACAGCCAGGCGATAACAATTCTGCAGATAAGTCCTGCACTCCTCAGTATCCTTGGAGTCTTTGAATTCGTCAAAAGCCAAATTCAAAGTTCGATTCAGGGCTGTGACGAAAGAATGAACATCAGGTGGGCCTAGAAGTTCCCTCATCTTCCGAACAAAGTCATCACAAAGGACGTCGATTGTGGAAGCTTCAGCCATTCTGAAATCAGATAAACCAAAAGAGAATTGCGTTTCTAAACTTAAAACAAATGAACCGACAGTTGATTTCCCCCAAGTTCTATTTTCAAAAATGCTTCTTACACCTTTTTGTAGGTATACACCATTTACACACTTTGTCTTTGTATATAGACAAAATTGTTGTATACACTAGTCTGGAAATGTGTAAATTGTGTACACAAAAAAGTATGGATCAAACATTTTTGCGCTATTTTTTAGTTGCATGCACTAGCGAAGATCTTAAAAGTAGGGTTCACTACTTAAGGGTTTTTATGTCCAACTTACAAAAATTCAGTCGATGCGTGTTCTTCCGTTCAGAGCCTATTATATCTCGTAGGAAAGATAATTTGGAGTTCTAAAGCTATTGTTCCAACTTCATTTACAATGCATTAATTAAAAGTTACAGATTTACCATAAATTCACAAATGTTTCTCATTTCACTCCGAACTCGTGTAGAATTTGATGCGATCATATCTTGCTCTATTTTTTTCCGTTGAAAGCGTTTAGTATCTCGTTGGAAAGATCATACCGTGTTCTAAAACTTGTCTTCAGGCGCTGGTTTCAAAATATCAAGGGATGATTTCCTAATTACTAAAAATACACTATAATCACGCTAAAGGTGCTCTATTTACGCTGAAAACGCTAAATCATAGAGATAAGACAATGTATTTGTGACAGTCATAATGAGATAAGAAGTGTTTATCTTTTTGGAGCGTATTATATCTCGTTGGAAAGATAGATCGGAGCTCTAAAGCTAATTTTCCAACTTCATTTACAATGCATTAATTAAAAGTTACAGATTAACCATATATTCACAAATGTTTCTGATTTCACTCCGAACTCGTGTAGAATTTGATGCGATCATATCTTGCTCTATTTCGTGCCATTGAAAGCGTTCAATATCTCGTTGGAAAGATCTTACCGAGTTCTAAAACTTGTCTTCAGGCGCTGGTTTGAAAATATCAAGGGATGATTGCCTAATTACTAAAATACACTGTATTTACGCTAAAAGTGCTCTATTGTCGCTAAAAACGCTAAATCATAAAGATAAAGCTAAGTATTTGTGACACTCATATCTTGCTATGTGTATATCCGTTTGAAGCGTATTATATCTCGTTGGAAAAATAGATCGGAGCTCTAAAGCTATTGTTCCAACTTCATTTACAATGCATTAATTAAAAGTTACAGATTAACCATATACTCACAAATGTTTCTGATTTCACTCTGAACTCGTGTAGAATTTGATGCGATCATATCTTGCTCTATTTTGTGTCGTTGAAAGCATTTAATATCTCGTTGGAAAGATCTTACCGAGTTCTAAAACTTGTCTTCAGGCGCTGGTTTCAAAATATGAAGGGACGATTGCCTAATTGCTAAAATACACTGTATTTACGCTAAAAGTGCTCTATTTTCGCTGAAAATGCTAAATCATAGAGATCAGGCTAAGTATTTGTGACACTCATATCTTGTTGTGTGTTTATCCGTTTGGAGCGTATTATATCTCGTTGGAAAGATAGATCGCAACTCTAAAGACATTCTTCCAACTTCATTTACAATGCAATAATTAAAAGTTACAGATTAACCATATATTCACAAATGTTTCTGATTTCACTCTAAACTTGTGTAGAATTTGATGCGATCATATCTTGCTCTATTTCGTGCCGTTGAAAGCGTTTAATATCTTGTTGGAAAGAACATACCGAGTTCTAAAACTTGTCTTCAGGCGATGGTTTCAAAATATCAAGGGATGATTGCCTAATTACTAAAATACACTGTATTTACGCTAAAAGTGCTATATTTTCGCTGAAAATGCTAAATCATAGAGAGAAGGCTAAGTATTTATGACACTCATATCTTGCTGTGTGTTTATCCGTTTGGAGCGTATTATATCTCGTTGGAAAGATAGATCGTAGCTCTAAAGCTATTGTTCCAACTTCATTTAAAATGCATTAATTAAAACTCACAGATTAACCATATATTCACAAATGTTTCTGATTTCACTCCGAACTCGTGTAGAATTTGATCCGATCATATCTTGCTCTATTTTGTGCCGTTGAAAGCGTTTAATATCTCGTTGGAAAGATCTTACCGAGTTCTAAAACTTGTCTTTAGGCGCTGGTTTCAAAATATAAAGGGATGATTGCCTAATTACTAAAATACACTGTATTTATGCTAAAAGTGCTCTATTTTCTCTGAAAACGCTAAATCATAGTGATAAGGCTAAATATTTGTGATACTCATATCTTGCTGTGTGTTTATCCGTTTGAAGCGTATTATATCTCGTGGAAAGATAGATCGCAACTCTAAAGACATTCTTCCAACTTCATTTACAATGCATTAATTAAAAGTTACAGATTAACCGTATATTCACAAATGTTTCTGATTTCACTCCGAACTCGTGTAGAATTTGATGCGATCATATCTTGCTCTATTTCGTGCCGTTGAAAGCGTTTAATATCTTACCGAGTTCTAAAACTTGTCTTTAGGCGCTGGTTTCAAAATATCAAGGGACGATTGCCTAATTGCTAAAATACACTGTATTTACGCTAAAAGTGCTCTATTTTCGCTGAAAATGCTAAATCATAGAGATCAGGCTAAGTATTTGTGACACTCATATCTTGCTGTGTGTTTATCCGTTTGGAGCGTATTATATCTCGTTGGAAAGATAGATCGCAACTCTAAAGACATTCTTCCAACTTCATTTACAATGCAATAATTAAAAGTTACAGATTAACCATATATTCACAACTGTTTCTGATTTCACTCCGAACTCGTGTAGAATTTGATGCGATCATATCTTGCTCTATTTCGTGCCGTTGAAAGCGTTTAATATCTAGTTGGAAAGATCTTACTGAGTTCTAATCCTTTTCTTCAGGCGTTGGTTTCAAAATATCAAGAGATGATTGTCTAATTACTAAAATACACTGTATTTACGCTAAAAGTGCTCTATTTTCGCTGAAAACGCTAAATCATAGAGATAAGGCTAAGTATTTGTGAAACTCATATTTTGCTGTGTGTTTATCCGTTTGGAGCGTATTATATCTCGTTGGAAAGATATATCGGAGCTCTAAAGCTATTGTTCCAACTTCATTTACAATGCATTAATTAAAAGTTACAGATCAACCCAATATTCACAAATGTTTCTGATTTCACTCCGAACTCGTGTAGAATTTGATGCGATCATATCTTGCTCTATTTTGTGCCGTTGAAAGCGTTTAATATCTCGTTGGAAAGATCTTACCGAGTTCGAAAACTTGTCTTCAGACGCTGGTTTCAAAATATCAAGGGATGATTGCCTAATTACTAAATTCCTATCATAATGAGTGTACTTAGGTGGTCATATTTTTGTATACAACATTTATTTTATTCATATATGGGATGTTTGGTAAATGGTGTTTCAGCCAAAAAATGACGGTTTGACCATTGTTGGCGTTTACGATAATTGAAAACGTTGTTTGATAAATAGCATTCGACACTAGCGTTTTGGACAGAACCACTGAAACGAAAACGTTGCAAATAGTAGAGTTTGAGGTTAACGTTTTGAGAAATGACGTAATCTATTAATTTTATGGTCATACAGCTAAATAACTAAACATCTTCTGACAACCCGTGAACTTATTGTGCTAGTCAAATTGAATCCGTTATTGACAACACGCTAACATAATCCGCTATCTGTTAACCATTAAATGCCAAACATGCCAAAGATAATTCTTTCATACATGAATCGGCTGCACACTTATATAGTAATTTAATTATTAATTAATAACAATGAATGCAAGAATACTAACCAACAGATTATATTATGATAGCAAACGGAGTAATAATTATAGTTTTATGTGGAATAATTATAGTTATTGTTAAGTTAAAAATGAGAATATTAAAAGCCATAAATTGGCTGAAGAAGAGAAAACGGACGGTAAACAAGTAGCAACGGATATATATCGTCGAGCTTTAATTTACATAGGGAGTATAAACTAGTCAATTGACTGCTATTTTCCACCCACATTTAATTGTTAATGAAAAAAGAAAACCAAATACGTAGTAATAAATAATAAGAAACAACGGTACAAATGCTAATACATTAAATGCTAACAAAGAACAACTTATTGATGTCCAATTGTCCAAATTTTAAAATTAAAATAAGAAGGATAGAGAAAAGAAGTTCTAATGCCAGTGTAAATAGCTTTGCAGTCACCTGATTAATATTTTGTCATGATACAATCTTTCTTCCCTAACACACTCATTTTAATTATTAATTTTAATGTATGTAAATATGACACTTATAGTAAGTATTTAAAATAATAAAAATAACAATGACAATTAGTTTGTTAGCAAAAACCTATCTCCCAGATTTCGATGAATTTGGACTAGTTTTATTATTGAATCGGCCATAATACGGAATTACGGAGTATGTATTTCAAAAATGGCACCTTAGTTTAGCAAATTACTCTAAAATGTTCAAATAAAAGACGGAGTTAAAAAGCCAACAATTATGGATGTATGATAAGAGTAAACACATTGATTTTATTTTTAAAATGAATATTTCCTTTTATTCAACTACTCCCTCAGTCTCATAAAATCCTCCCGGTTTGATTTGGATCGGAATTGAAGAAAGTGAGAATAAAGTGAAAATATATGATTGTGGTTGAATAAGAAAAAAGTAAATGAATGTTAGACAAAGAAAACATTTCAAAAGGGAAAACGGGGAGAATTTCTTGGAACATTCCAAAAAAATTAAGTGGAAAGAATTTTAAGGAAGAGGGGAATACTATTTAGTATAATTTCTTTTCAAACTAATTTGAATGAACAATTTTGTAAATATTATCAGTGTTAATAAATTTCAACAACAGTAACAATGATAGAAGTTGATCTTGTGTTGCAGAATCAGATTTGAGGATATGAGATGACAAGCCCGTAATTATATGGATGGACTCAGGTCCGGGTCGGGTCTAGGCCCGGGCGAGCCGGCGGGTGAGAAATGGTGGACCCGGGACCGGCCCGGGTAACCACCGGGTCCGGGCCGGACCCATTATATATTTTTTTTTGTTTTCCTCTTCCTAATTAACCCCCCTCCCACCCCCAACCCCCCAAACCACCCCAAATGGCCCAAAATACCCAGCCCAACCCGAAAATTTAAAAAAAATTGAACCGAGGCCCGGCCCGGACTCAAGGGTTACCCGGGCCGGTTCCGGGCCTCCCCTTCTTGAACCGAGGCCCGGCCAGGCCCAGGCCCGAACCGGGCCCGAACCGGTCCATGCCTATAACAAGGTTGATTAATTCTGATCTTCTCGACACTTCAAAATTTCAACTGCTTGATGGAAAAAAACGCAATTAACAGTAGATCGTCTCACTAGGGAGCACGATGAGAGAACCTTTATTTTCTCCCCAATAATGTGGCAATGTGCTATAGTATAAGAACTGTTAAACACAACTAACAATTTTCTATAATTCCTGATTGTACCCTTGTCTTGAGGCATCAAGAACAAGTTAGGATAGTAATACAATGTGCAGTTAGGGGTGGACTCGGGTCCGGGCCGGGTCAGGCCTAGGCCCAGGCGGGTTCAAGAATGGTGGACCCAGGACCAGCCCGGGTAGCCATCGGGTCCGGTCTGGGTCCGGGCCGGGCCTCCGGTTTGGAATTTTTTTTTTTTTTTTTTTTGCTTTCCTAACCCGGGTGGAACCCCAAAAATGAAAAAAAAATCAATTTGGCCCGGGCCCGGGCCCGACCCGGCCGGGCTGGTTCACCAAAACTGGGACCCGAGCCCGGACCCGCCCTACCCCCGGGCCTAGGCCCGACCCGGACCCGGACTCGAGAACCGGGCCGGTCCCGGTCCCGCACAGTAGCGGGCCGGTCCCGGTCCCGCACAGTAGCGGGCCGGGCCGGTCCACGGGCCGGGCCGGTCCACGGGCCGGGTGGCCCGACCCGAGTCCAAGCCTATGTGCAGTTATGTCTAGTATTAAAATTTATATAAAAAAGTACATCTTACAAATTTCAGAAGTAGATAATACATCACATTAAATTTTATTAAATATTTTTGCAACATTTTAAATAGCCTGACTTTTTGCATTTTCCCAGAATCCCGGGCTTATAGTGTTGTCCACACTACACAGTACAATAGTACATACATGCAACTTTCACTTAGAAAACCCCATTCATAAGAAATTTATACAATACATTGAATGTTTGGGGATGCTCGATTTTGCATGTTATCCAAATTGAGGAAACCATCCCTTGACAGATTTCATAAGAACACATATTAGGGCACCTAGAATGCCACTGAATTCTGAATTCCATTAAAACCCGAATTGAAAAATGGAGTGCGAGTATAAACATTACATACCATTGAGGCAGTAACCACTTGGAGAGATTGACACGTAAACTTTATGTTTGGGAGTTAGAACTTGATATTCCTAATGCTGTGTAGTACGGAGCAGTAATGTTGGTGGATAAATGCAAATGTCATACCTCAACTCTAGATTCAATTCTTTTTCTTCATCTAATGTGAAAACTTACCAAAACAAGCAGATGTAGGCATGTAGCTATTTGTTTCAAGATAAAAAACATCGGCACAATTTAAGAAAACAGCCACGTTCTAAACAAAGCCCACGTCCAGTTCCAAATTTAATAGTTTATAGTTGGCCGATCATACCGGATCATTTCTTAATAAGGGCACAGATTGCAAATAAACCAGACTCATGTAAATACAATGCTCTCTTTCCAAGAAGATATATATCATTTAAAGAGATCCTTGTTGAGCCAGTCCCTGCCAAGAAACATTTAGTATCACAAATAATATCAGATTACTTTGTAACAAAGTTTAAACCAGGCACATAAAAAAGGAAAATACTTTACTTGCTAATGTCATCGAGGTGGTCGTCAAAATCTATTATTTCTTTCCATTTCTCCGACGAAATATAATCCGAAAGAACTGTGTTTGCTGCAGGCTCCTTGAGAGTAAATTGACTTTTCCCATCAGATCCTACAAGTTTCCAGGTCCTGGAGGCGTCTTTTGTGTAAAGCTGACACCAAAAAAAGTAATGTGCTTACTCATTGTTTCTCGCAATACTATCAAAGAAAGATATACATGAGGGCATCATACCAACATAAAGTATAGCAAGTTGGCAACACAAATCACTAGATTGTGTTGATACACAAACAAGAGCTACCTTATAAAACAATGTACTGATAACATCAACCAGGACATAAACCAATACAACCAAATGAACATATGATATTCATCAGAAAAAAACAACAGATTATGCATGTCTATTCCAAATTTCGAATTTGTTAGCGGCTCGTAGTATTATACACTACGAAACCCTAACTCTTATAAGCAAATGCAAAGGGAAGGACACAAGAAGAAACAAGAAACAAATGAATGGTCAAAGGTCATCACAGCTCAAGTAAAATAATGCAATGTGTCATGCACCGTATCACACATCAGTTAGTAGATGTGAACTAAAGGCAAATCAAACCTAACGAATCTAAAGAGATCATGTACAAGCTCAAAGCAATCATGAATCGTCCACTTATTCTATTAACGGTCAGAGAGAAAACTTCAAGAAAACCCATTAAAATGAAATAAGCAACACTATCATTATTATCAGAGCAGTAGTCCCAACTAGTTGGGACCGGTGGCATGAAATTTATAGTGCCAATTAATCATACAACTATAAAAACAAATAACACTGTAATAATACACATTGTCAATTATTATAATGAAAAAAAGTCAATAACAGTTCAATGTATTTTCGACATTATGGATCAGTCCCAGTGCAAATGAAAATCAAAGAAGGTAAAATGATACTCCTCTGTCCCGAAAAGGTTCGCCAAATTGACTCTTCTTGGTCAATGGCAATCAACTTTGACCAATGATATTTTTTTAATACAAAATTATTTAGAATATGAAAATTATATCAAAGTGTTCCTTATTCCAAATATTTTCGTTAAAGTATAAATTATAAATTATATACAAATATACTCCGTAATAGTTACAATGATTGTCCGAAGTTTGTCATCACTGACCAAGAAAAGTCAATACGGTGAACTTTTTCGGGACGGAGGTAGTATATATATGAAGAGTATTGGAAGCTCAATGATGGGGGGGGGGGATTAACTGCATGAAACATATTGCATCAGACAAGTGGGGTCAAAGAATGAATAGGAAAATGGTGATTCTGTCATGACTCAATAGTTAAAGAAGTGCTTTTAAAGCACGCCTTGAGGCTCGCCTCAGTCTGAAGTAGCAAAGAAAGGGCTTCGTGTGCATGAACCAAGTGGGAAGTTTTAGATGGTTGAGGCATGTCATGAGGCTTAAGTTTAATAGTTTTTGCTTCAAGTTTTGTTCTGTCTTATTATATCTAAATAAAACTCTTGAGTCATATCGGGCCTATTATTTTTGTTAACTAGTCACCAATCCTATCAAAAGGCCTAAAATCTATTTACTGAAATTGACAACTACCCTTCACGAAGCTCTCTCTCTCTCTCTCTCTCTCTATATATATATATATATATATATATATATATATATAGGGGTGAGATCACATACAAACCATGCTTAACTTACTAACCTACAAACTCAATAATATGCAACACTTTGAATTTCAATATGCAATACAAATAATGTAATGATGCACTCTTTGAATTTCAATATGCAATACAAATAATGTAAATATGAAACTGCTATTTTATGGCTTGAATAATATGAAACACTTTGAACTTCAATGTGCAATACAAATAATGTAAAGATTATTTGAATGAGAAGACTAGTTTGTATGTGATCCCACCCCTGCATATTTACATTATTTTTACTGCATATTGAAGTTCAAAGTGATGCATATTATTGAGTTTGTAGGTTAGTATTTTAAGCATGGTTTGTATTTGATCTCTTATATATATATATATATATATATATATATATATATATATATATATAGTTCACTAACTTCAAATAACTTAAGAACTACTCTGCGCGCCTGCACAAGTGCTAACATTTCTTGCAGAGTAGCAGAGTTACTACCACTGTTCTTTATTTCTCTAATTTCTAGTAAGGATCAAACAAGCCCAGCTTCTTTTTTCCTTTTGAATAACAGTAGAATATCACTATACACAGCCTTATTTTCCTTTTTCCGCAATTAAACAACTTTTTCCGATTCTATTTACAACAAAGAAATATTATTGTTCAAACTACTTTTTTTTATCCAAAATGCTCCGGAATATAACCATCTCAAGCCAACTGTTCTCCTTTTTTCTCATTCAAACATTTTTTATTCTATTTAGGAGTTAAGCATATGATAGTGGTTTATGACATTCAAATATGAATTTATTTCTATGTATGATTGATAATTCGTTTTAGATTGTAAGTAATTCCAATTTGTAAAGGGAGTTATGTATAAAGTTGAGGCTTACACAGTTACACCTCGTCTGACAAATGTAAGACACCTTTTAAACACTGCATGATTCCCTCTTTATGAAACCAAGAAGATAAATTGGTGCGACTGTGAAGTGATTGATTTGGCCAGCTCTAAAAGACGAATAAGGAAGAGGTGGAACCACTGGAGAGAATTAGATCACGGAGTGCTTTGTTCAGGTGGTAAAGCTGAAACTACCAATTTAAATGTGCTGTTCAGCCAAGGCCTTATGATTGATGAATTAAATGTTACAACAAACTGACAAAGTGGTTTTCTGAATTCGGTTAAGTGGTACACTATGTCCTTGAGCATGAAGCCCCCCCACTTTCACATCCTACCAGATGTACCAAAAATGTGCTAAAAGAAGGCACAATGACACATCCAGGCTGATGAAAATAAAGCACATGGAAACTTTCAACAATAATTTTGGGGAAAAGAACTGTGATTTCTTGAATTTATGAACCAACGGTGCATTCTATGCTTTTAACTGATACTCAGAACTTTAACAAATATTACAGTGACTGACCTGCATCACAGGACTCCTATCTTTACCCTTGAGTAAAGCTTCAAGCTTCTTGGCATCTAACTGGCAAAATCACAACAACAACCAAATGCTCAATATCAATGAAGTAAACAAACAAAATTCTGAAATACCAGAAATGTGGAGTACCAGAAGCAAAGCAGTCTGAGGAAAATATTGGTGGATATGATCAGCAATATTCTTTGGGACAGTTCCAAGTTCGACATCATCAAAACGCTCATTGGCGTGAAAGTAACCAACAATGCTCAAATCATTATTACTACAGTAGTCCTCTATCTGAAAAATAATAGTAAGATCGATTAAAAGATGACCCGTAAACCCTAAACACAAATTATCCAAAAAGAGAAGTAAATGACAATCGATGATTAACCAGGGTGTAACAACTAGACTGACCATGAAGAGGGAGATTTCGAGGGGAGGAAGGATGGAGAGTTGGGAGTGGAAGAGGGGGATTGCATCCACAACTTCGACAACGTCAGCAGAAGCTGAGGTGGAGCCAAGGAGAACGCCGTTAACGGCGGATGTTTTGTGCTTGATTGCATGTAGGACGAGCTTGATGTAGGCGTTTTGATGGATCTCGTAGCGAGAATCACCCCCCATCGTTGACTTAAACGTGATGATCTTGAATCTCCACTGAAGTTCTTGGCTTGTTAGACCAAGAAGTTTGCAGACCGGACTACGAAAACGGAAAATCAAGGCTCGGATAGGGGAAATCTGTTTTTACGCCCCAATATTTACTTCAATATTAGACATTGTACCATATTCTCTAAGCCTTTCGGTTCGTACCCCAAGTCCGAGAAGTAGGACTGCAAAATCAAATGTGGATTCATCCATGCAAAGTTTATGATAAATCTCACTTTTAGGGCGAGGTAAGGGTCACATTGGTCATCCAAATTGAATAAGAATGATCAAATAAGTGTTTATTATCCAGCCGTCGCCATCTTATTTATTAAGTCTAGTTTACCCATACTAAATTTCAGCTAAAACTTCAATCGGGAAGACATTCAAATGAATTCTTGAAGATAACTACGCTTTTAACTGCGCAGTTATCTTCAAGACTTCATTTGAATGTCTTCCCGATTGAAGTTTTAGCTGAAATTTGATATGAGTAAACTAAACTTAATGAATAAGATGCTCAAAAAATTTCATCAAAAAATCCCACCGGGAGCCGCCCCGAATGACGACGGCCGGACAGAGCCTCCTATATAAGGACTTATTTGACCCTTTTTATGCAACTTCGAGGACCAATCTGACCTTTATAGGGCTTAGGCACAAAACCTCATATGATTTTAAAAAAACTATTATTCCACGTTCAAATCCAAACATGCCCCATACGAACTGTCTATAAGTGTATTTTTTGTACGTTAGTACAATATTTACGAACAAAATTGTTTTGTCGATAAAAATACTCTCACAGACAATGTGTATGAGGGCATGAATGTATTTGGACGTATACAACCAGAATTATCCTATAAAAAATTATGGAGTATTGTTAAGTCCGTGCACTACCGATCTTACATAAACTCGGGCTTGAGTCGAGCTTCATAAATAGGCCCTAAACACAGTGATTCTTTGTCATATAGAATCATTAAAATTCAATGATTAAAATCACAAAATCGCAATTCTTAAAATAAAGTCTTGCATTATAGCAAAATGACATTGAATGTATTAAAGAACTAATTAAATACAACTCGTCGAACATTTTTAGATGCAATTGTATTAATCAAGTCGCCTGAAGATGTACTATTCGAAGTGGCACTTTTATTCGAAATCAAGTACTACGTACTTATTAATGTTTCGGTTTGACTTTGAGTTAATGATTCGGTACGTGATTTTGTTTTCCTCTTTTGAAATTGAGACATAGATTTGAGAGACATGTTACTAAAAACATAATTTAGTGGAATCCTTAACAATATATATTAGTAATTTTCACTATAAAATACAAAGCATTTAATTTAATTAATGTGAATTGAGAATTTCATAATTGCAATATTGATAACACTAAATAAAAAACAAGCAAGAATCAACTAGTATTTAAAAATTTTACAAATTAGTCTATTTGGCATTCACACATGACAAATTAATTATGCATCACATTAGCATTTAGCACATCAATATAAAGTTAAAAAATTTCTGAAAATACAAACAAATAACAACATAAGCAAATAAAAAACATAGACTGATAGAATTAACTATAGAACTTGGAGCCTAGAAGCCTAGAAATAGAAATCGAACTGCCCAAAAGGAAAAATAAAAAATAACTAGAAAATACATATGTATAATACTAATATATATATATATATATATATATATATATATATATATATATATATATAATTTTGGGCCCCTGGTTTTTATAAATTTTTGGGGCCCTTAGGCCCAAGCCTCTCCAGCCTTACATAAGGCACGGCTCTGAGTTTACCCTCGAGTCATTTTGTACTTTTCATTCTTTAATCTTGTTTAAAAATTATGAATGATTCCTAATTTTGTTAATATGAGTAATGACATTGTACATTACTTATTTACTTATAATAACTAGTACTCTAGTAGTTGACATGATTTAACCGAAAAAGTTCTTGAATTTATAGTACATATCATAATATAGTTCAAGTTCATCATTAATTGTTCTTTTAGAGTGTGTATTTATCTTGATGAATTTCATTTTGATATATTTAGTTGTGATCAGACCGATTTCTAATAGTCACAAATTCACAATAAAAAACGAATCCAATAACTAAAATCTTTATTTTTTTGACATTGTTAGATATATACGAGATAGTATAATCCTAAATCGATGATACCCGAGGTTATGTATTTTGTATAGGACCTAATCAATTAATTCAGTATTGATTCATGGCATTTCACATAAGTCAATGATTGCTTACATACTTATAGGCTTTATATCCATGTATTGCAGAAATGCATACATTTTATCATATATTCAAATGATCTAAAAACTTAAAACTGTGAAGTCTACAATCTCCATGTATACGTGTACAATTAATATCATTAACTTTATCATACATGTTTTTTTAACTTTATCAGACATGTGAGTTCAATATGATAGACATATCTATAGGCACGTTTGTTTTTTCAGCGGTTTGGTGCTACCCGCTGCATTTTGCAACGTTTCATAGTTCAATTTTTCAGCGGTTTGGCGCTACCTGCTATTATCCAAACGAGCACTATAATCTATTCGTTCACATATATACGGGCCTTTTTTTGCTTATATAATTGTCTCTTGAATATATGAGATTATAATTTATGTAGGATAAATTTTTGGATTTAGAAGAATGTTTTATACACACAAAGACTAGATCTGTCGCCAAGCTGTTAATCGGCTCTTTTTGCATTTTTAATTAAATAATACTTGAACGTAGAGATGACAATGGGGAGGATCGGGGATAATTTTACATATAATCGTATCCGCCCCGTTGGATAATTCGCCCGCCCTGTAACCTCTCCATTACCCAACAGATAATTTTTACCCAAACCATAACAGTCCCAACGGGTAACGGATATAAGTATAACAGCGGGTAACCGTGGGTAATCGTTTTATTAAACAAGTCATTGATATTTTAATATAAAATAATGTTTTAAAAAGTGAATAATGACATCACCTAGACAACTCTAGAGTCACACGTCACTTTAAAGTTCGTATATCTACAAGACAAGAAAGAAGACAACCTGAATTAATTTGAACCTAAAAATACGTGATCTTAACCTGAAAAATAATTAATAACAAAAAAATCTGATAATAATCAAACAAGACTATTAAGATCGATTATGAACTTTCATTCCTATACTATAGTTAGTATATCTATTATCCATATATACACAATGAAAATAGAAAAATCTCATCTTTAATAGTTATGAGACAAGTAATAGATAAACATATAATAAAAATATAGCAACAAATAAACGGGGTGGGTAATGGAGCGAGCATGTATAAAACCATAACTGACCTGTTCGAGTATTCCACGCCCCATACTAATTACCCGGTCAATGTGATTTTCCCCATTTTGACCAAAGCGGTTCGTTGCGGCCTGCGGGTATCCATCATATCGGTGGCATTTCCTACTCGGACGCTGTGACCAAACAGTCAAGACCAATTCCAGTATCCAATTATCCATTCAGCTTTCACCAAAACCTCACATACCAACCATTAAAGTTTGCAACTCAGACCGAAATAATAAAACTAGTTATGAATAGGGATGGACCGGGCCCGGGCGGGCTTTTTTTTTTTGAGTTTAGTCCCGGAAACGGCGAAATTTTTTTGTACCCCCAACCCCCAGGACCCCTTCCCCCCTCCAAGCCTCCAACGGCTATAGCGCCATTTGGGACTTTTCCCAACGGCTAGGACTTGGGTTTCAAAAAGGCTGATTTTTAATTTTCACCAACATTATAGGCTCTTTGAAATCATTTTGCATGTAACAAACGGGACCAAATACACGATGGTAGCAGAAAGAGTCATTATTATTGAAATGCACTATACATCATTACATCTGCTTAAAGGTGGCAAAACAAGCCCCCGCCTACGATACACGAGCAACTAAAGCAGCAATGGTCTTATTAAAAGAACAGCAATAAACATCCGCTTCAAGGTAGCAAACTGCAAAAGGAGCCGTACTGCCGTACATGACATATTACAACTTACAAGATCTAAGACACACCACCACTGCTGAATTACTCTATATATATCACGAAATCTGTATTAACTACTCCTCGCGGGAAATAAGATCCATGACGACCCGCTTTATGCTTCCACCGTTCTTCTTGAGGAGTTTCTTGTTAACCCCCTTGTCACAAAAGCCCTGGTCATTCATTCATAAGCCAAAGGATTAGCTCAGGTACAACTTGCATATATTAAAAACAATATTGTACCCATTAGAGATTAACCTACCATCTCCTCCAACTCCTCAAGGACGGGATCCCACTCAGAAACACCGCACAGATCATCAATAGACTGCTGCAAATCATACTCATTCATCCGCAATACCTCCTTGTTCAGATCTGTCTGTTTAAAACCCATGTCATAAAGTTCCTTTAAGAGGGTTGTCTCCACCTCACTGTTTTCTTTATCAACATTTATTAGAGGCACAACAGCTGGTGCAACGTCAGAGAGATCAACAACAGGATATGAAACCGAAGAAGCGGTTGCTGGAGTAGTAGCAGGTTGTGGTTTGCTGTTTACACCGATAATCAAGCTGTCGTTTATGGGGAAGAAGTTCGCCTCCTGTCCCTTCATTGAACTTGTCCCCTCAAGAGAAGGTTCAACCAACTCCACAGATTTGTAAGAGAGTATAGGCTCCGGATGGCTGCTATCTCCAACAATTGATTCAGTGCTCGACTCAACCATTTCAGCATTTATTATGCTGCTGCTTGAGGGCGGCAGATTCAAATTCAATCCGCGTAGACTTTCAGGGGCAGGGTTCCTAGTGGGTTCATTTGTAGTAGCAACAACCTGCATTATGGGAGATTCGATAGAATCAATTATTGGGTAAGCGTCTGTCAACTCAGCCATAGGGTAGGTACTTGGGCCAAACCAAGTTAAAAAATTGAATCCAATATGTTAGTGAGTTCAACCCAAGGTCTTATTAACCATCACTTTCTCTTTAATTTTCTGATCTGGGATTCTAACAAGATTGATTGAGGCACAAAGATGCTAATTGTTTACGACACTCACGGCGCTATCTGATATTAGGAAGATGTTTTTCATCTAACCTGGATTTGCACCCAAATAAGCTGGCCAAATGTTTGGCATAAAGGTGAGGCCATCCTCCAGTTTGAAACATATCGGCCTGGCACATTAGGAGCAATTAAATCAACTGCAACATCAAGCTCTTGTTCAACAGACACACCATCTGCAGCTATCTGGCATCCAAGACAAAATAATAATAAAAATAAATACTTTACTATAAAATAAACAAGCACGAGAAGTTGAATACACAATAACTTGTCATGCAAGTGAAGCAAGAAGCTAAACATTCCCACCTCCAAGTCTACAGACATCACATCACTTAGTATATCCCCATCGATCCACACAACTTTGGAGCCTTTGGGCCAGAAAATATTACCATTGTTCCTCATCCTCCAAATTTTGGTAAAACGAGTTGAAGGTGGAATTATAGTACCATCCGGAATATTGACATCCTGTACAAAACGGCTGGAAAGTTTTGGTCGGTTGGATTTTGGCCCAATTCCATGATACATGTATGGTGGGCGCATCCTGGCATGCTGAAGATTGAAGAGCATATTCAAATGAAAGAAGGCTAAATGACAGAACCAAAGATATACAAATTGCGCTTAAAGAAACATCCATACCTGATCACTTAATCCCCGCATAGCACAAGGGTTCTGAATGTTTACTGGGCGATCTATTCGGATATACTCGGCTTCACTACACCCCATATTACAAAAGCAGATGCTACACAGGTCATAGTTCTCCTTTCTACAAAAGTAGAAACTAAATGTATTAAACATCTGATTTGAAAATTATATTCTGTCCATCCCAAACTGTAAAATACATTTGGATTCCGCAAGAGTTTTATGAAATAGAGGAGATGATTGTTGTTTTACAATTGTAACTTTCTAAAAGGAAGAAAAAGTAGTTTGGGTTCAAAAAAAGTTAAAGGTGAAGTTCTAACTAGGAAGGTGATCACAATTTTGGGATAGACAAAATGGATAAGTGCATCTAATAAAATGTGGGAGTAGATGACAAATTTATAAATACAATTATAGTTGCAGTCAGGAGTAGCTCACGCTTTAGACTTGAATCTGGGGCCAGTTATTGGGTGGACCCCACAACCATCGCAACAAACACCCTTATGAAGTATTTTGCCAATCCCAACACTGTGGCCATGGCTTACTTTCGGGTGGGTATACAAGGGAACTGGCGGCGGTGAGACTGGGTTATTAGCTGTTTGAACACCAGAGAAAGGACACACATCCATAATTGCTGGAGCTTGGCGTGGAGGATTTGATTGCAGAATAGTATATTGATGTGTCTTCCTTGAAGGACCGCCACTGGAGTACCCAAAAGACACGCTTGGATTGCTAGACCCAAATCCAGTAGAACCTCTAGTATTAACAACATGGTTTCCAACAACAGAGGGAACACTAGAGCTTGAAATGCCAAGAGCCTTTCCAACAAGACTACTATCACAAAATTTATTACCATCCACCCTTTCCCTAACACTGGGCTCAAACATAGTAGGTTCTGGATCTCTTGCTGTAGATCCAACCAAAGGTTCATTAAGATTAACAGACATTCTTTTTTTAGTGATAAGAGCCTCGCTTTCAGGTCCTGTTGTAAGGCTTCGTTCACTAGGTTCCAAGACCTCATTTACAGCAGATGCTGTTTTGTCAGGTCTGGTGTGTAACACCATATCTGATGGAACTCTATCCACCGATGGATTATTTTCAGTCACACCACTAGCATTTCCAGTGGCTTGCCTCTGTGAGTCAGGCTCTTTTTTACTTTGAGTTTCAAGGAGTTGGTTTAGATAAGATGAGCCTATCCTTGAGAATGCTTCAGCAAGCTCAGTAAGGACAGGGGGGGCAGATGATGAAGCACTAGAAACCATGTCAGCAAACAGTTTAATGGGAGCTTCATGCAAGAGCCCTGGCCCTCTCTTGAAATGCTTCGCCTGAAATGAAGACTGTGTGCTGGGGGGTCTTTCTGAAGGTACATCATTCCTCTCAGCATTCAGTTTCACTGATATTCTCAATGGATCCAGCTCCTGCTTGACAATATCTGTCAGATCGTCATCATCTGCTAGTGTCACTTCTTCATCGTCCTCATCAGTATATGTAAGGGTTATTTCAGTATTAGAAGGAATTTGGAAAAGTTGAAGTATTTTCTCCTTCAGTTCATTTATGTTAAGACCAAGAGTCTCATTAACAACAGGAGCTTTGAAACGTCGGAGTGTATCTCCGCGCTTGACCTGAAGTAAATTGATCCAGAAAAGAAAAAATTAACAAATAATAATAGTATTAAAAACTGGACCAATGATTGAATCAGTCAAAGAACTAGTTCAATGGTCACCCTCCTGTTGAGCAATTATAAATTACACACATACATAACATTCACGTTGTCAGAAAAAACATGCATTAAAAAAATACAACCATGAATATTTCTAATTCGGTATAAAAATAAAAATAACATTACACTAATTAATACCCACCAACTCTCCATCAAGAGAATATAATAATGGACCATGAGGATATGATGAGAACTATCACTTTAGGCTCTAAAGAAAAATTCAAACCACAAACCAGTTAAACAAACGGTTAGATCCTGTTTTGAGTTGGCTCAATTGATTCACCATTAGTTGATAGAGTTCTGTGTGCAGAACAGACCATTTTCCCAGCCAGTACTCAATCTGACCAGCCAGCCTAGTCCATTTTCAATACCATACATATATGTTGATGAAGTTCTTTGCTAAGCATTTCAGTAGTAACAATTATACATAAAGAAATTCTCGATCAGCCCTTCAGGAAAGCTTAAATCAGAAAGAATTCATAAATCCCAAATATTGCACCAGATGATGAACTATAAAATATACTTGGTTAAATATCATCATACTCTACAACATAAAGCATATAGAACTTCAAACAAAACAAAAACAGTTTCCTTGCCATTCCATTCAGGGAAGAACTTCACAGAATGTTGCACAAAAATTCAATTCTTCAAATGGAAAATTGCCATAATATCACTCACCCTGCTGTGTAAGAAAAGTGCCGTTTTATCTGAATACAAAAACAACATCCAAGACTTAATCCCAAAAGAATTTGGGGTTACCTAACATGAATTGACATATGACATCGGATTTAAAAACAATAAATAGAGAAAAAGGGAGACAACCCAAATAAGATCAATTTTCCACATGTATACCCTCCTCTACTTTGCTATATCAAAATTCATACTCTTATTCTAATTCAAGAAGTACCACATCATTCTTGGCCACTCTAATCAACATCCATCCAAGTCATCCCCTCCCTCTCCTCCAAACCTCCTCTCCCCACCTCTCAATTGATCTAACGGGTGCATCACTCGATCATCTACACACATGACCAAACTATCGTAATCGAGTCTCTCGCATCTTATTTTCAATAGGTGTTTCTCTCACTTTTCATCTGATTGCTCATTGTTCCATTCCTCAAGCAGACTTTTCTAGTATGTTCACACATCCATTGTAGCATGCACATCTTAGCAACCCTCATCTTTTAAATGTGACATTGTTTCACAGTTCAACACTTCACGTTA